GCCCGGCCCGCCTCGGCCCGGTCGCGCTGTATCACCGGCCTGTGTCCGGAGGAGGGCCTCTGGCGCTAAGGCAGCCGCTGGCGTTGGCCGTATCGCAGCCCTGCGGCATTGCAGGCCGCGGAGGCTTTGCTGCCAAGGAACGGGTGTTGTCACACCTGTTGTAGCAGGTTAGTCGTGAAACCTAAGATTAACCACTCGCAGGCAATCTCCTCGTGGATTCCGGGCATGTGTATCTAAACCGTGCACCATAACTAGCTGGTTTTGCACGTCAGAAACGCAGGTCTTGATGTGCCTCTCAATAGCGTTATGGAGATTATACAGCTGTGCCTGCCAGGCTTTGGTTATGAACCTTGAGAGGGATTATTAAAGTAAGGAATTATAACGAATTACAACTTTTTCTGCTCTTCACAAAAGTCTGGAACTGGTCATCCTGCAGGCTGCAAAAATCGGTTTCTGTGGTGAGGTGAGATTGGTAGCATTCAGTGATGCTGGTGCACTGCAGCATGCTATGAGCCAGGTGAAATAGTTAGCTTACAAAAACGTACAGCGCTTATCTCCAAGACGTAAACTAGACTAGTATCCAGTATAAGCCCTTTTTTTTTTTCTAATTGAAATACTGAACATTAACAGGGGTTTTTCCTTTTGAAATAAGGGATTAGCTGCAATGTAGAATACAGACTCATTAAAGATGCTGTTTGTCTGATTTGTGTGCTTAAAAATTATGCATAGCTTGGAACAATGTTTTCTTAATAGATAGAGAAGTGTTGCAGCTGCCATCCACTCTCAGGAGTATTGGAAATTTTTTACTGCTTTCCGAAAATCATGCTTATGTTACTGCTCTGTGTTTATGCAAGGGTGTGCATCCTTTCTCTACCCAGGTCAAAGCTGCATGGGGTTTTTCCTTGGCTGTAGTGGCTACTGCAGTGTAACCCGAGCACTGCGCTTGATTGAGAATCAGACCATTGACTTTGATAAGTGACTTGAGAGCATATAACCTACTCTGACTGTCATTAGTGCAGAATATTTTCTGGAAGAGTAGTTACCTGCATTATCTCAGTTGATTTTTACCTTAAACTACACAGAAATGTAGAGCTGCTTTTAGAGTTTAGTTGACTATAGTGGATGATCTTTAATTCATTTTGTTGACTCTATGAAGGTCTTTTTAGAGGTGACTGGAAATGTTACAAGGAGAAACATAAGGAAGGCTTTTAATGATTAATTGACATGCAGAGGAAAGGAGATATTAAAAAGAGCAAAGTCTCTGTGGAATTAAGCCTTATCACTGTTGTTTTAGTTGAATCTAAACTTGCTGAAATTAAGGTTGGTTTACCGTGCACTCATGGGCCTTCTGTGATTGTGCTTTTGTTCAATACTACCTCTGCCCTCTGTCCCATTATTTGCTACCGGTCTTCTGCTCATTAAATTCTTTGATTCAGTTTGGCCACTTGCATTCTGCCTCTGTGGACCCTGTAGAAAAACTGCTTATGAAATTATCAATTCAAAGTAAGATTTATTTAATTAGGTGCAAATTAGTTTTATTCACCCATTCTTTGCTTACCACCCTTCTCTGTTTGGGAGAAACAAGCAGTTCATCAGAGATTAAAATTGGACATTATCTTCTTAAAGATAGTTTAAAATAGGACAGATTGGAGGTGTACAAGATAAGGCATTGATAATGTAATTAAAGTTCAGGCTTTTTACAACCTTTACTCTTGGTAAAGGCCACAGTTCCTCTCAGTAGAATTGAAAAGCAGTATAGTCTCATAGAAAGCTCACTTTATTGATTCACAAGTAACTGAAAGCATCTAAGAAATACATACTTTGAAGCATGGAAAGTATGTATTTATAAGTATGCACTCTTTGTGGCGTAACTCAACTAGTAACAGTTTTGCTGTTAAATGTGATGGGTAAGTCAGAGATGCCCTTTGGTTAGCAATGGCAGAGTGCATGCTCAGCACAGGCATCTGCAGATTGTGGTGGTTGCAGTAGCAAGTCCTGGTTCTGTGGTTGGCCATTCACAAAAAGAGGCATAGCTTCCTTTTCTTTCTTTGCTTTCTCTTCTATTTCTCTTACCTATTGGAAGTTCCTAATTTGAGACTTACTTGATGTAGTTAGGTGCTGCGTGCAGTTTCTGATTGATAGTAATTTTGGTACTTGCATAAAATTAGTTGGCAATCAACTACTTACTAGAGATAGTTGTTCATATTTCAAAAGTGATGCCTCTCCCTCAATTTGAGAATGTCTGAATGTCTGAAGTAGAGCCAGCCTTAATACATTATTTTGAAATAATCTTTTTCTGAAATACTTGGTGCTATTGAGAACAGAAGTGTAATATGGCCTCAGTCACATAATTTCAGGTTCTCTGAAATTGCCTTGTTATTTTTGACCAAGGCAATATTCAGACGTAACTGGAAGATGATTTGCAACTGTTTGCTATTTGTTTTTTTTATTGACACCGTGTTTAATAAAGTGAAATAAGGATAGATATACTTTTTATAGGCATGCATGCCATCAGGTTTGTTAGTTGTTATGCATATGTGGAAATAATAAATCATGAACCTAATTGCATATTAACTTCCTGAGAAGACTATAGCTTTTAAATAATACTTTACACAGAATAATGATTATTTTTTTTCATACCATCAGGTCTTGGTAAGTAGGTGTTTTGTGTTTAGGAATTAGAGGACATTGAATATCACTCCAGAAAAATCAAAATTTCTGCTTATGTTTGGAATATCTGATAATCTGCTTAAGTATGTGTTAAGTGGGGCATATTGATTTACTTAAACTCTTGCCTTTCTCCGAAGCAAATTATATTTTAACTGTTTGCTCTTCCTCCAGTGCCTTGCGTTCCATGATATTTCACCCCAAGCTCCAACACATTTCCTAGTGATTCCTAAGAAGCCAATTGTCAGGTTATCTGAAGCGGAAGATTCTGATGAATCTGTAAGTACTCTAGAAGCTTTCTGTACACCAAACTGTACCTCTAATTCCTTCATAATTTACTAGACTCTCCCCCTTTTCCTCTTGACATTTCAAAGAGGCAAAGTAGTTTTCCGATACTATAATCCTTTTCCTCTAGCTAAGAATGGGAGTGGAGTTAAGGTTTTCCAGTAAAAGTAGTGATACAAAGCAAAATGTATCTCTGGGTATGTATTTGCAGTGCAAAATGCATTGTTATTTTGGAGTATAGTCTTGATATCTGTTTTCATGGTTTGCAGGCAGTAGTACTTACTCTAATGTGGGCTTGGGGTTTTTGGCAGGTCAGAGATGAAGAAAGGGAAAGTTACCTGAGAGGTGCTGAATATTTCATTTGTAACTATAAACATCAAGTTCAAAGATTTTGTAAACCTTTAGATGATAAGATGAAGATTATTTTCCACCAGAATTGTGTATGTTGCCTGAAGAAGTAATGGGGGCTTTAACTATGAGATAAATTTAGCTTCTGTGACACTTCTGTAGTCTGTTACTGTCTAGCTTGAAAAAAATCTATAGCTCTTTTTTCCCCCTATATTATGCATAGTCAGTCTTTATATCTTTTCTTGGAAAGTGTCAGTTGCAGGCAGACAACAATTTGAACAGCAGTGGCTGAATTTCTAAGAATTAGCTTACTGGCTTATCTGATTGCTTCTCTGCTCTCATTCCTTCCCTTCCTACCCTCTCCCCTTTTTGTGTGTTTTCTGTTTGTTTTGTTTTTCTTGTGTTTTTTTTTTTTTTTCCTTCCAGCTTCTTGGGCATTTAATGATTGTTGGCAAGAAGTGTGCTGCTAACCTGGGCCTGACCAATGGATTCCGGATGGTTGTGAATGAAGGGCCTGAGGGTGGGCAGTCTGTCTATCACGTACATCTCCATGTTCTGGGTGGTCGTCAGTTGGGCTGGCCTCCTGGCTAAGATTTTTACACCACAAGAGTTAACTGCATGCATACAAATTACCACCAAATAGATATAATATGTTGCCCATCAATCTAGCCACTGTTAATGTATTTTCTTTTTTAATGTGTGTCTACAAAGGGTAATAAATGCTCTGAACAACATTCGCACAATAAAGATTTAGCATGTGGGAATCATCTCTGTCTGGTGTGCCTTACTGATGGAAACAATTCTGCAAGTTAAAATGGAATTTAAGCGTGTAGCATGTTTCAGTCTGCTGTTAACAATCTTCTGTAGATAGTGATTTGCTGAGGCATTTGAAACCTGAAGGTGCAACTGCTTAGCAGTCTTTCATGTCTTTTGGGAAGAAAACTTACAAGGTTTTTGAATGTAGCATATAAATATTCATAAAGCCAGTGTAGGCCGCTGCTAAAACTTTTTTTTTTTTAAAAGTGTTTTGTGTGAAATTCCAAACATGCCGTGCAAGGGTTGTGTTAGTACAGTGCAGTGTGTTGGAAACATACAGCTCCTGGTGGAGCCCTCTGTGAATGGCTGCTTTGTAAGGGCCTATCTTTCTGATGAGAAGGGATAAAACAATAGTCTTAATGGCAGCTGCGATAGTTCCATAGCACACTGATATTTACTTCTACATTGTGATTGTGATGGAGTTGAGGACTTGAAATGAAAACGTTGAACTGTGTCTGTAGGGCCTTGTAAAATGCTCAAGGCATTTCATCTTGGCAAATAAGCAGCATGAGGTAGTATGTATACGTTTTAGATTCCAGATTTTGTTGGGTGGACTTTGCCCTTCAGTGAATAGTAGTTTCTCTGTGTTGCTGCCTACAGTTGTTTACGCAACACTGTCATCGAATCTCCAAGACAATGAATCTTCCTGAAGTTAGAGTTACAGATGTGTCTGCTAGTGTAAATATAAAGCAACTGTTCTCTCTGTTAAAATTGAGAAGTCCCAGCTAACCAGTTTTTATGATGGAAGATACTTGGAAACCTTTAGGCAGATGCCTTAAGAAAAACTGGGTTATTTGTGAGCACCACTTCTCCAGAGTACAATGTTAACACGAAAGGTGTTAAAGAAATGTTGGAGTGTAGAAGGTGGACAGGTAAAGGCTGTGAGTTGTGATTTCTATTCAGATAAAAACTTTTAAGTTTGGTAAAGGCATTTGAATTCATTCAACTTGCAAGTATCCTGTAAGTACTTCTGAAGGTTCTGAACCTTCAGAGTTTTTACCCTAAGACATGACCTCAACTGGAAAAATCATCTAGCGCTTCTGAAGGTGGCTGGTCTATAGTTGAGTTAGGAATAAAAAGGTGGTGCTGTAGTGGTAGCCTGATAGCTGTTCTGGATGTCCTGCATGCAAGTGAAGAAGAAAACCACCCAACCCCCAGAGGTGCAGCATCCCTGAGCAGACAGCTGAATGTGTATCACAAGAATAAGGTATCACTAGCAGTGGGGTTACAGTAAAGGTTTATGGCTGGGAAACTTGCTATTGGAACAAGTTCGTAAAAGTCACTTAAGGATACTGAGATTAACCATCAGCACCCAAATGTGAGAAAGGGCATGTGATGTGTGTACTACTTTCTGTTCTCCTATGTGTATGCTTTATACCAACATTTGTGAATTAAAGCATGACTGTGAAGTTAATTGCATCACTGCTGGACCCTGTATGAAAGTAACCCAGTAAAGCTTTTGTTGCTTTACTTGGAATGTGGCTTGCAGATACACATCTTTTAGGAAGGTAGGAAGACTTCTAAGTGAGGGCAGAACCATGGAGTTGTTGCAAGGGTAGCCACGAGGTGAGCTTGCTAACCAGTTTACTTGTGCTTCAGTTTCAGGTGAGTGTGTTCTGCAGTACCTCGAAAACAAAAGATTGATGCTCAAATGATTAGAAGAGTAGTACTGAGCTTAAGACACCTGTTGGACAGTGATGAACCCAATGTGGGATAAATGTAGTTGAAGGAAAACTTTCTTTTCCCTAATTTGTGGCTGTTAAGAGGTCACTGAACCTGCAGGAAATGGGAGAACTGGGCATTAGTCACCCTCTTCTAGCTCTTAAAAGCACTTATCAGTTTGTTGCTAAAAGACAGACATCAGCCTCCCTGCCATCAATTTTCTTCTGCTTGAGTTTCAGTCTGTTACTTCTGTGGCTAAGTAATCAGCTCTGGTACAGCCACTCTATCCTATAGTTTCTAAGGCCAGTTACGAAGTGAGATAAGTTAACTGCATTGCAAACTTTGTATTAAAAAAACCAGGGAGACAGACATGGGAAAGCAGGGTTATCCTACATAGCCCTTCAGCTCTACATTAGTGACGGATCTGAGACACCCACTGGAAGATGTCTTGGTCTCTTCTATTTCTCCAAATGTAGTTAGATGACAAAAGCCTGTAAGCAACTGAAAAATTTCGCCTTTATTTAATCTTCATGGGCAGAAGATAGAAATGGTTTACCTGAAGTAGACAGAAGCTGATGCATGGTCTGAAATTGAATTGATGTAGTGTTTGTGTCCACTTAACTGAATGATTGAGCTAGGCAACATCTACTGTTATGTCTCTGTAAACTCCCTGAGGTATCTGGAAGGTGTTCCTGGTTTTCAGAGCTACAGATGGAACGGGGAGTGTGTCAGGAAGCAATAGGGGGAATTTTGAGAAGCTAGATATGGCTTATAAATTCATTAAGACTGGATTATTACTCTAAGTTTTAGTGGTCTCTGGTGGAATTCGTCTCATCTTGCAGATAATACCACTGCTACTGCTTCAAATCAGAGGCAACAAATGGATATTAAGCAATAATCCACTGAAAAAGAGCTTGGCATGGAGAATTACTGGTAGAGAAAGCTTATGGATTGTGCATTTATTCGTTCCATTTTTAAGGACTTAAAAAACAGTAATCAAGAGGTATGTATACTTCAGTATTCTAGTTTGGATCAAAACTGTTCTTTCAAAGTGAATTTGGCTGTGTTTTAATTTGTGTTTTTGGAGTGGTCTTGGGCTGTGTGGATTGGATTCTTCTTGAATGAACTGGAAGATACATGCCAGGACAGCCCAAATATACTCCAGCCACAAATAGGCATTTGGTCTGTGTATCCAAACTAGAACTTGACAAAAGAACAAAAACCAAAATGCTGAAATTTATGTAGGATGGATGTTAGATTCTCACATTAGCTTTACAGATTGACTCTTACTGATCTGTACTGCTTGCTAATGTAGTATTTCTAGTAAAGATGGCATCCATGGGGATGGCGATAAAGGTATGCAAAAGAGGCAGAGCTTTTGCAAGAAGTCTATGTGGAGAGTGGCTCCTACCAAAAATATATTCTTCAGTAAAAAATATAAAATATGTCGCAACAAAAGCACTTTCTGTAAATCTCCATGATGGTTATTTATTACTTGGTGTATGGAAACAAACATTCAATTAAATGAACGGAGTAATGTTAATCTGATTTGTCCCCCTAATTCCACAACTTTTAGAGTTAACAGAAGAACCTACTGAACGGCCAAGTTATTTCCAGGTTTAGATACGGGTCTTAAAAAGGACACTTAAACCATCAGGTACACTGTAATTGAGATAAAGTTCCTCTTTCAGATCAATAGAAATGAGAAGTAGCTACATCAGATTCTGCGTTCCCTCAGTATCATATTATTTTAAATTTCAACTCTCCTGGAGATTTAGAGCTGCTGCAAGTTCCTTAAGAATTGAACTAGGCAAAAAGGCTAATACCTTCAGAAATGAAGGAACAGGAATGTGTTTGAAAGAGCCATGGAAGACTTTGAAGGGTCCACGCTAGCTCCAGGTTGCTGTGGAGCTTCAAGAGAGTTCCTTTTTCTTTAAAGCCAGTGACCGTACTTAAACTGTTCCAGTTCTGGGACTTAAAATTACACAAAGACGCAAGTAACTCTCTGAGTGTCCGAGAGAGCGAGCTAAACTATGTATGTGACATTTATGTCAGTTTTTAAAATGTCAGGCACTGAGTTTGAACTAACGCCTGCCAGGTATGCAATTTTGCATTCTTTTAGGTATTGAGCTGTCCAGTCTTGTTCAGCCAAGCTAACCACAGGTACCCACACAGTTCTTGAAAATCCCATGACAGTAACTGTTGCAGATTTGGCCAGGCCATCCTGACTTAGGCTACAGTTGTCTTATTTTCTCCTTTTTCTTTGTTATTTTCTCTTGTGTTGGAACTAATTTCTGTGGACCAGATTGAATTTCTCTCAAGAGCACTGTGTTAATCTTTTATCTCATTATGGATGTATTTGCTATGGATTTAAATAGAGTTCTCTCTTCATTCTGTCTGTTTCTTCCTCAGTATTGGGGGAAAAAACAGCCATGGCAACAACTTCCTTTAAATAGATAGGGAATGTCTGTAATAAACTTGACAGAGTGTAATCTTGTTTTATTGTTATTTCCAGTTATGAATTTCTGTCCTTTTGACAAACCGTAATAGTGTACTCTAGCCAATTTGTAGCTGAGCTTGAAGAAATGGGAGAAAAATCAAAGCCTAGGCTAATACTGTTGGGCAGAGCTGTCTGCCAGGGTTGGACACCAGGTATATGCCCTATACCGGTCATGAAGGAGTTGAAGAGGAGATGTGGGCTTTATTTGACTGTAATGTGCTTACACCCAACACTTGGGCTAGTTAGAGGGCTGCCAGGTGGAAAAAACCTTAGATATAAGTCTAAAATGCAGAGTCTTCTGTGTAGAAGTTGAAGGGGGTTGGTGGTTTAAGAAGAGGTCACTGCTTTAGTGACTGGGGTAGGAACATGACTGCTTGGAGATATGAAACTTGGGGAAATATCTGGGGATCCAGCCCCTTTGAGGGGGAAGCTTCAAGAGAGCAAATGTGTTGTTTTTTTTTTCTGAGAAAAAGAAGGATCTTGAGAGAAAAAGCATCTAGAGGTTCCGGAAGAAAGAGACTACCTCTTCTCAACTCATGGTAAAAGTAAAAAGAACTGGCAATCGGTCATGCAAAGGGTAAAAAATGTTAAGTATTAGCCTGTTGTCTGTGTTCTCTGTGTTGGAAACCCAGCAATGCCTATAAAGATGTTACTGAGTAGATGTGAGCTTGGTTAACTTGGTCTTGCTAAACTTGGTCAAAACACAGCCTCACAGGAGACAGTGCCCTGAGGATGTGAAGGGGAAAGGGACAATAAGTGAGGCTGGAGCTGTAGTTCCTGGCCCCTTTG